TAAAAACAAACAAGCTTGTTCCGCGTTTTCTGCAAAATATGGAATGTCTGCCAATTATAAGTTTTATTTGTGTGCGACACAATTATACGTGCTTTAAATATTCTAATAATAGATTCAGATTTTCGGATAATTTTATAACAATATGCGCCGAATAATTATTACATCTACATTAATATTAATTGCATTGAATTGCATAAATACTATATAAATAGGTCATCAGCGCTGTTATCTCTAATATTACGGAAGCATTACATCAGTGATCGGAGGCTTTAATTACGTGTCCGTTTATCGTGCACCAAATCGGGCGCAATGTCAATCGACAATATCGACCGACTCTTCTGCAACAACCGATGGCGATACCAAAAATATGTCGCGTATCCAATTACGTGCGCGCGGCTTATTAGCGAACGATGAAAATTCGCGAAAATCAAGCCGCTGTGCGTCAAACAAATATTTGTGACCTCTTGCTATATTTTTTAGTATAACATCCGCGACGATATCACTGGCGGTTGCTACTCGAAAATAATGTTAAAAACATTCATCGATAATCGACTCGAATAGTAGATTCGAGCGAAATTGGAATTAAAACATATGAAGAGAATATTCCCTTTTGCGCCTAAACATATTGCTCTTCATACGAGCGCGCGAAATTGGATGGATTTGCATTAATAGAGAAATAAATTCTTTTTTACATACCTATATGTATCGCATCTGCGCATCGATAGCTTCGATGAAATTTATCACCAAATGTTTTAGCGTAACCGGCAAATGCAGTGTAATATATTACAATTAAAACGAGTGACTTCGTGTATTCGACATCGCGAAATATGTAATCGACGAATATATATTTTCGAGATAATTTAAAAAATACTTTGCTCATCGCATGCAGAAAAGCCAATTTTTGTTTTCATTCGATTTTAAAATAATTTTCCATCACATTTTTTATATAATCATATCAACAATTATTTCCGTTTTTTTCATAATTTCCTACAAATATTTCTTTAAATTCCCAATTGAAATTCCCTCGATAAAAGATAATTATTTTCTTCAATTTTACCACTCGAAAGAGTTAATATTCATCGAAAAAAATATCAAAAGTATATGTAGTCATACAGGAAAAATAAATATTGCGATATATTGATCTTTTTTAAAGTAACTTGAAAAAAAGTTAGCAATTTGCTCCATATTTTTACAAATCTGATTTTTATTAATTGAAGGATGTCAAGTTGCTGACGCAATTTTTTTTTAAATATTTAACTATCATTATACTTATTGATTAAAAAGAATATTAAGTTATGTGCTTTGAAAATTATAAAAAGATACGAGATACAGAACAGATTAATAAATTTCAATGGCGCAGAGAGGAAAATAAAAAATATAAATTTATCAATTAAAATCGAATTAGCAGAAAAGTATCTAAAAACAAAATATAATTATGTATATAAATCAAAAGCACAAAAAAGGGAATCTTCCAAACAAATCTAATATTATTTTGTCAATTAGGTCTTAAAAGTTACACATATGTGTGTGCTTTTGTATAAAATTTTCTTATATATATATTTCTCAATGAAATCTGTATAAATTTATTGATTTCTATTATTTTATATTTTCGCGATAAATTATTTCGAATACATTCTCATGTCAGTCAAATAGATAAGTTGCTTCGCGAAAGATCAACCTCTCGTTATAGAACTCTCAGAAAGTTAAATCTCGCATGTTTGTAGCAGACCATCATTCTGATGATTCGAGGTTCAGAGAAAATCTGAGTTACCTCTATGCTAGAAATTCGAAGAGACGCTATTGAGCTTTCCATTCGGAGGATGGAAACCCTCTTGTCTTTTCCATAGCGATTTGAAAGCCTCGAGAGAATACGATAACGCGTCACAAGCAATGTATCGAGCTCGTCAAGACATACAACCCTCAAACCATTAAATACGTAAATCTAGAGAGAGTTTTCTCTTTCGGAAAGTTTATATACTATAACGCGCTTTCGACAAATTTATCGAATCGATATTGATCTCGCAAACATACATAGTCTTTCGGAAATGGAAGTTTTAGAGATATTGAAATATATTATTGAGAGAGAGAGAGAATAGTACACATATTTCGTAAGTTATTTTATATATACAGATAGAAAGCGCACAGTAACCACAAAAAAATAATAAAAAATATCAAAAAAATAATAAACTTACTTAAAAATAATGCAGTTGGATCTATTATTTTATTAATATGAACAAACTCTTTCATCAATTACTTTTATCGGCTCAATTTAATAATTGTCTAAATAAATAACAAAAAATGAAGCATCAATTCTATATAATTTAGCTAAATTTTTAAGATTTAATACAAAATAAGAAATAAATATACATATGGTGACAGTTCTTTATATTTTTTGTGGATAATTTTTCAATCAGTAACAGATTTGTCTTGTATCGAAGAGCACAGAATTTTCACGTGACCAAATGACTTAATTAGTATTAATGATAACGAAATAATCATTGTAAGAAGAAAAATCCTGATATTTCTCATACAGTAAAGGTTTTTTTTGTTGTACTTGACTTAACGATAATCTATTTTGTTAATTTCGACAGAAATGAAAATGCAATTTTCATTCGTCTCTGTAAAAACGCTGCGATAAAATGTTAGTGCAAAAAAATTAATTTAATAAAATTGGTAGTGAGTCACATTCATATTTGTTACAAGATAATTTTCATGGCATAGAAATGTCTGCTTAATGCTAATTTTCAAAGTAATTTATGAAGATATTCAATATATTAAAAGTTAAATATCAAACAAACTCACTATCATAAATATTCAATTAAATATTAAATTATTTCTTTAATTAAGATTCCAAAGAGTATTTATTTATACGAATATAAATGTGATAAAATCGTATAACATCGTGGTTTATGATTAATCTGGGAAGAATTTTATTTGAAGGAAAATTGCATTGAAAATTTAACTATCAATGTACTTAATATTTGCTAGATATAAAAATATTTTATATGCGTGTATGTGTGTGTGTGTGTGTGTGTGTATGAAATTTCTACTTATGAAAAATTGATCCCAAATTTTTTTGAGAGAATGTGATTAAATTTTTAGACGTTTATAAATAATTAATTGCTTTAATAATTAAATTTTTAATATTTATAATCGAATCAGATCATCATTATGTATAACTCAATTTATATGTAATTATCAGTATTATAATTCATTGCTATTAAAACAAAAAACAAATTGTTTTAAATTTTAGTATATACATAAAATATACATAAAATATTTTAAATATCTTTATAAACAAATCTTAGTAATATATAGTATTAACACATGATCAAAGGAGAAAAAGGGAAATTGAATTCTATTCTCCCACGAGCGGAATTAATCGTTTAATGCCCGCGAAGCGGCACTTTATATACGGCACATTTTCCAGATCGAGTCATAACTCACGTAAGATTCGATCTGACGGTTAATTTCCGCGGTGAGAAATGTGATATGCGGCGAATCACAGACATCTGGTCGGTTTTTCTAGAAGTTTAATTGGATCTACGGACGATCTAATCCAACCACACGCGTTCGCGCGCTCGCGACCTGACCTGATGTGATCTGACCCTGATTTTTCTGGATTTTGCATCGCCGCGGGAACATAATCTCTCTTCGTTTTTATTTTCTAGGAAATTTGCGTAAGTTTATCTCGTAAAAAGGGGTCGCGGCATTGTCGGACATAGTTTCAGCGAATAATTAATCGCGATAATTACAAAGCGCTTCTTCTTTATCTTACCACATCGTTATCTACATCGTTTTCGAAGAATTACTTCTTCTCTCGAGCTTTAAATCTCATGCGAACTTTTACATAAGGGAGATACATACATTTCAATAATTAGAATTATAAAGTTTAAGTTAATAGAAAATTGTATTATTGAGAGAGATAATTTTCTTACAAATCTCGTAAAATATTTAGTTTCGAAACTTCGTTTCCATCTCTATGTAAATAAATCAAATTTGGAAAAACAAAGCAAGTAGGTACTACGTAAAACTACCAAAACTTGTTAAATATTCGAATAAACTTTCTTTAGATTTTATATAGGTTATTTTTTTAATAAAAAAAATCATTAAAAATACGAATTTTCAAGAGTTCTATATTCTTACAAAAATTCCTTAAATAGAGAAAAATATTTTACGAGAAAAAAACACACAAAAAGAGGTAAAATTCATTTCTCTCTTTTAAGCCACAATACAGTAATCTTTTTCATTCTGTTAATTCATGCCACGATGTTTTACTCGTGACGCAAAAAAAATCATAGATCATCTGGTTACTCGCGAGAGTATTTGGGTTAATTGAGGAGCTACACAGAAGTACTCAGCTCGTAATACAATGCAATATCATTGGTGTTGAGAGATACTTTTTGCATTTGCTGAGAACATCTTTGAGCAAACATTTCCATAGCAACATTTACTAATTTAAAGCGATGATGTTAACAGTAAGATAGGAATGCAACAGACAGTTTCTTTATAATGCGAATGAAATGAAATTAGATTAGAATTTTCGTTTCTTGCGAAACTCCTTTTTTGTTAGAGAGACAGGAGGGAAAGAGAGGACGGACAAAATATTCAGCAGGATATATCGAGAATTCATTCCTGTCGAAGATAAAAGTCGACCCTCAAAATCGCGTGGTCGTTTTCCGACAGGGATTCCTGATAACACTGCCGCTCGATTAGGGAAGCTTTCGGCGAATCGCGCAAGATAAAATCGCCGCGTGGCTCTTTCTTCAGCTAGGGGCTGAATACTTAACGAGTCCTCTTATGGAAAGATCCTTAAAGATCCAAATGGAACTTTAAAGACTCTGTAGATAGAAGGGTGGGAAAAGCGATCGATTCGCCAATTGCGAGGGATCCCGGAGGATATAAGTCTTGTAAGCCTAGCCCACGGATAGGACTCTGTCGCAGTCTCTTTGTAAAGTATAACGGTATAAAGGAGATCTTTTCCCTTTCTCTCTTTTCAGTCGCGAAGCCGGCCAAGGTCACCCCGGTGGAAGACATTCAGTCCAAAGAGGAATCCTCCACGATTGAATCTATAAAATCGTAAGTTTCTGCCAAAATATAGCGTGTACAAAATGTTTACATTGTATTTTGCTATTACTTATTACATGAAAAACACATCATTCTTTGAAAACGTTATGCTGATAAGAATTATAGTCTTCCTCACTAAAATAATGTTATTTATATATATTATTTTTTTTATTAAAAATCTTGCATATTTCCTATTTAATGTAATATTGTACAAATATCATGAACTATATATTATTATTAATTAAATAAAATAAAATATATATATCATATAATTATATTTATGCATAATTTGATATATATATTGTAGCAATCGTGTTAATATAAAATATATGTTCGTTTAATTTCAAGTTGATTGATTTTTCGAGTATTACATTAGCAACATTATTATATTGTCGAACATACATTATCATGTTTTTGAGTATTACATTATACAGTTGATTATCAATAATTTAAAATACATTATTAATAAATAATAAATAATAGAATAAATAAAACCTAAAGAAAAGCATAAATAAATAATGGAATAAATAAATAGAAAACGCGGCTTATTAAGTTTTATCTTATATACTACAAACTTTTTATTAAAAGTGTTGTAAATATCACATAATCGAATTATTTTTATTTTAGAACATATTTATTCGATGAAAAATATAAAAATATTAACTTGATTGCGAGTGCAATCTTGCGAATAACGGGAAAAAAACATCCGTTTCTGGAACAGTGTAACAATAAAAACCTGATATTGCGTTTTTTCATGTGGAAGTTACCCTTCCCAAAGGGCATACTGCCAAACTGCACTCTATTTTCATTCAAATTGGTATATTTGAAAGCAATTAATCCTTGACAAAAGTCATTTGCAATAGTACGAAAATGTTGACTTTGTACTGAAAATTCTCTCTAAAAATTCGAAAAAAAGAAATTTTTTTAATTTACACAAATCATTAAAAAACTAAGTACATGTCTAAGATTATGTTTTAAATATTCTAAATAATAAATATTGTACAATATATTTGTATGATAAAAAGATATAATTACTACGTAACTTTAAAAAAATATTTTAACTTCATATTATTTGTAAAAGTGTATATTATACATTCTAAAATTATTATATCCAAAGTTATTTTTATTGTTTTTAGAATTTCGACTTTTTCACAATAATGGAAATTTATATTTATATCAGATTCTGTTAACAATATCTATACACCTCAACAACATCTATACAATAACCACGTAACATTTGTATTTTATTTGTATTATTGATAGGGAGCATTCTTTAATAAATGTCACTCAAAAACAATTCCAATATTCGCGTAGCGAAGCTTAATTCATTATTTCATCAGATATAGTATCCAATCTATTTGAAAATGTTTTGCTGAATAGATAATCCATCGCGATTAATCTACGAGCGTCACTCGTGCGAATGAAGATTTATTCACTGGAAAACACATGTGTGCAAACGAGTCACAAATGTTATCCATGTAGAAGACGATCTCCGAAGTTCACTGTCAGTTTAAACGGACACTATTTCTACTGTTTGCCAGGCTCGCGCACCCAGCCAAGTGATATTTAATACGATATGTCCATTAAAGACCATGGATTCGTTGGTCAGCTAAGTAACCCGTGCTTGTTCAAGTAACATTTGTGTTGGTCTGCGAACAAACATGATTCAACTAACGATTTTTTAACAATAATGATATTGTTAAAATCGTTTTTTCATAGAAGATTGCAAGATAATCGAAAAATAAATAAAATGTATACGTTATGCAAAAAAAATTTAAATAAATTAATCATATTTATTAATATAATCCCTCTTCCGCGATATATACTTCTGAAATATATTTTGCAGTATAATAGCAGTTGCAAAAATTGACGATCAATCTTATTTTTATAATTTGTTAATATTATGACTCAATAATAAATGTTTTCTTTTTACACATAAAGACATGTTATTTAAATATAAATGAATTTTTTGTACGTATCAGTCACATAAATAATTATATATATTTTTTAATTTATTTATATTACATAATAAATTATTTATATTATATTTAATAAAGTAGTTTATTTATAATTATATATAATTCTTTTTTATTCTTTATTATTATAAAAATATGTATTTATACTATTAATAGATTATAGTTAATTTAGATATTTATATAATTTCTATATTTATATATATATAGTTTGATAATATAATACTCGATAATAATGTTGCTAATGGAGTATGTGTTTGGAAAAATCATGACGAATAAAAACTTGCGCTTTATCAAAGTTTATCGGATCCGGTGTTCCAGAAAGTCGGAAGCGAGCGCCAAGACAAGTAGCGGAGACGACTGCAGAGTATGCCGGAAGTCGTTCGGTCCCGAAGAAGTCTCACGAACTTGTTGCGAGTGTCAACACAAGGTTTGCGAGGATTGCGCCTCGTATTCGACGACAACGAATTCTGACGATCCAGTGAGTTTGCACGCCTTCATTTCTAATTAACCTGCTTGTTCATTGTTTTTCACCGGTAAATATTGCCGTAAAACGAAATTGGACGGCGTTGGGCGCAAATTGATTACTGAATTAAATGAACGAAAAACACAAAGGGACGACGCAAAGTTGAATCAAACCAAAAAATTTCATTTTGTAAATAACGTTATAATTATGATATTTTATTGCTATTTAATATCTGTTCTTTTCATTTATGCGTCATTATACTTATTAATAAGAATAATAAATTTTTATTTTAATGTGTGTCATTATTTATATATCGAAGAATATTTCAAATGTTTAAATGTTTACGTGATACGTGATTATATTTTATGTAATTATAAACAAAACCTTAATAAGTGTATGTTTATATCGAATGAATATACATGCAAACAAATGTGTGTATTCCAAAATTATCATATGTGAATTAGAAAACGACATCAAAAAGACAACAAATATATTATATATATATATTGTTCAACTTATACATATGTCAAGTTTTTATATAAATGTATTAGGAATGAAAATCCCGTTACTTATATATTCACTGAAGCATGAACGTGAAAGAGAGAGTTAATTGTCAGCTGATAGTGACGAAAAGTGAAGAGAAAAGCCGGAGACTCACGGCGATACGAAATAAACGAAGTTTCCTAATACCGGGCCTAACACTACCTCATGTAAATTACGTCCACCTCTGTTGCTTGCTAATTTTCCGCCATTGGATTTTATTGTTATCTCAGAGTGTAACTTTGATGCTATTTTCACGTTTGACAGACTAATCAGGACGAAGAATCTTGCATATCAAAGCGAAAATAACGTTGGATGAAACGCGTTTTCTGTTTGTTCCTTTAACCAACAAAGTAACCATAGGAAATTATACTGTAAAAAATCATTAACAGGAGATTTTCTTCAACTATTTAGAATTCTTTTGAAATCGTTCGTTGGAAAAATTAAACCTTTCTATCATTTCGCATCAATAATTACCTCTACGAATGCCGATAAGAGAAAAAGCAAAGGAAGTTAAAATGGGCGCCTAAAAACGCGTGAAAATTTAACAAAAAAAAAATTTATTCGCGTTTCGCACGATTTCATTTAATCGCGCCTAAGATTAATTGAGGAATTCCACGATTTGTTCGCTTTTGTTCGCCGAATAAACGCATGATGGCACATTAAATTCAATTACGCGTATAATTGATAAATTCGACAAATGCGCGCGACCGATCGCATGAGATATTTAATCTTGTATTTATTACAATGGATTATAACGTTTGCTCTTGCATGACATTCTTGCAGGCAACCCAAATTCGTTGGAACGTGCGTAATTATTCCAAGAGTCTCTATTCATTTCCTAATACCTGTGATATATCTGCGCTCCAAGTTAAATTCGTTGAATATAATGTACGTTTTTCTATATATTTGATAAAACGGAATGTTGCGCTATAGAATTGCGAGAAAAGTCGTCGTATGTGAATATGATGAAAATGTGCGCACTTAATAAGTTTCAAGATTTGCATTCGTTCTCTCCACTCGCTATTTTTCATGTTCCTGGCACGCGGAAGAAGAGAATAACTTAGCCTTTATGAACCGTGCATGAATTTCACTATTATAAATATGTATTATATAAAAAGCAGGTCGTATAAAATCCGATTATGCAAACATCGCAAGTTTACACAGTTGAAGTATTTGAAGAGAAAGAAGATAGCGACATTTAAAAAAACTTTCATAATTTTCCTATTGCATTTCTAATATATTATTGTTTGTCAAAATAAAAATAATGCATAAATTATATAAACGAAAATATTCAGATATGTATATCTAAATTTTTAAAAAAATTATGAAGTTTCATTATTATATAATAGGCTTGTAAATTAAAAAAGTACTCTATTAAATTCATATATGTGCATGTCTTAAATTTATATTAATAAATAACAAGGTCAATTGAATTGACAGTTCTATCTGTATTGATAACAAACGCGAGCTTTTTGCTAGTAATAAATATCTATGTGCATTGATGAGTGAAATTGTCTTTTCGGAAAATGTTATAGTCTTCTTGGCGATGTAGCGTTTGCCGCCGAAAGATCGCCTCGAGGGACCAGCCGATAGTAACACAGGAATCCACGGATTCGCTGCTAGACGTGCCGATCCTCGAGGCTCTCCAGAGGAGGCATAGCGATGCTCGACTTGGACCTAGCGGAAGTCAAATAGGCGCACTCGGAACAGGATTGGCTCCGCCACGAAGCCCGGAAATCCGAAGGCATTCCGATGTTTCACCAGCTAGTCTCAAGGAATTGGAGAAGGTAAGCTTGAAAACTTAATTTACGACAAGATCTATGCTTTCCTGATTTGAACAATTCAATGAAAATTGAATGATGCCACTAGCATAACTCTATCTCAGAATAACCCTGATCTTTCTGATCGCTTTATCTAACGATGTCAGAGTAGATGCATATTTATTCTAACAGGCAGTTTGATATATTTATCAGATAATATAAAAAATATATTTTAATAGATATCCTGATGACGATAGAGCGATCATTTTATATTTTAATAGTTTTTAAACGGTACAATTTTATTATTTTATTAACTTACAAAATTTTAATATTATTAATCTAGATGCGATTTTTCTCAAAAAATTCATTTGACACGATTTTATCTTTTTGCGATAAAGAGTTGAGAATATTTTTAAATTTTTAAAATTAAGAAAAAAGCCACGCTTTACGTGTATACCATGTCGTTTGACTGGCTTTCTGTGTATTCACGATTTACCATCGCACGAGATGCATAATTCAGCATCCTTATATGCGAAAACGTTCGTGTAATGATGATTAAAATTAGAGAGTTGCTGAAATACCGCTACGAAACGAGTCACTGTGTAACATGCTTTAAGTGTTCGCTTAAACGCTTTATAAACCACACTTTGCCATTATCTCAAATACATATTTTATGCTACTCATTGAGGTTGTTGCACGTTCATTGCATCATGCAACAAAGTGCAGATCGCCATGCAACAAAGTGCAGATCGCCATGCACATGAAGAATATCTGGAATTGTTGTTTTATTCCGATTGTGACATCAACGATTTCTATACTAATCTATTCTATTATATAATGCGACTTTTTCAATTTTGTTTTTCTTTCAAAATATTATTGATTACGCAATAAATTTCATTATAATATTTCAATTCCGATGATACAATATTATTTTAAATAAAAATTGTGCGCGAAAATCGCCATTTATATCATATTTCACATTGACTTATAACCAAAACGAAATATTTAGTTTTTAAAATACTTAGACATTTTTAAAAAATATATTTTAAAAATTAAATATTTTAAAATGCATATATTTAATAAAAGAAAGAAATAAATAAAATTTATGCTATTTTGATTAAAACTTTTTTGTATTAAAACTTGTAAGAATAATACTTATCTAAGATAAAATGGAATAAAAATCCCTCTCAGTAAAATTGCATAACGAACATAAAATTAATGGATCTGCATTTATCATATCCTTTTTATGCCAAAATTACGGTAATTTGCGAATTATAAGTTATTCAAACGATCGTACTCTCACGTGCGATTTTAACGAGATTCTCTTCCGTTGATGTCGGACTCGATGCGGAGTTCGACTACTCTCAACGAGATCTCATTGCGTGCAGATCCCGCAGTGCACTTGTCCCGCAAACTGAGTACCCGCAAACATGCACGCGTCGAGAACGAATACATGTGTGTGCAACCAGACTTCTCATGACCCGACATTTAGACAGACAATTATCGGCCATGTAATTACCGCTTGGCGATCGTAAATGCGAATTTTATGAAACTCGAATGGAAATGTAATGAAAATCGTACGTGCGTTTGACTTTCTTAAAATACGGCCTGAAGAGCCATTGACATTTCACTTTTAAATCCGTATAATAAAAAAAAAATAATCGTGATAATTGTGATAACCGTAGAAAATTATAACATGTTGTATGGGACATTGTCAATTTTATACATTTTGCTTAACAAAATTTGTGTCTTTCCTGTATTCTGCGTTCTACAAATTGCTAGATGTTACATTTATGTAAGTTGTTATCCTTGAATTTATCGGAGCTTCAGTTATTGATTGTCATACAGCTTTGTAAGACTGAAACTTACGTTGTTGCGAGCCAACAACTTCATAGTAGGTAAAATTTATCGACGACAACCGTTTTTGTCATTTGGCAGAATAATCAGAAAAATCCGCGTTTGCGCGAACGGAAACGAAAGAAAATTGAGGGAAATTGAAATGAGAACGTGCTTCTGCACATCGGAAGAAATAAAATCATAAAAACGGTGAGGTTGGAAAATTTTACGTGGTAATACATCAGATGAAACCTGCTCATTACGCGGAAAAATTAAAAGCTTGCTGTTATAAAAATTTATCCTTCTTGCGCGCCGTGTTTTTGGTTTAAAAGCTTGCTGTTATAAAAATGCATCCTTGCGTGTCGCGTTTTTGGTTTAATTCGTCTATTGTAATGTACAATATTTCCGAAATTTCAACAAAAATGCAGTGGTATAGTTTTTTGATAACTCTAGTTGTTATATTTTCGAAATTCCTTTTCAAAAATGAAATAACATTGAATATTTTCGCTAATAATCAAACCACATTACTTTTTCGCATTCTATTCATTCAAGATATATCAATCGATGTTATCAAACTTTTTTATACAATGCCTTTTTATACAATGAATTAACGTTTAATTCCTTTCGACAACCAACATGTATTTTTAGCGCCATTCATTCGCGATGAATTCATTCGTCATTCGTCATTCGATACAAAAAACATGAGGCGAATCGTAATTTCTGCTTTGTCAGGTTGACGTAATGAAATACATCCTACGAGTATTTACGCACGCGTAGGCGTATGCAAATCCAAGAGGTGATGTTTCGTATTTACAATGGGACGAATGCTAATATTGAAGTTTATCGCTCGCTTTCGCACGCATCAACCTCCTCGCGATACGCTTCGTTTACCGAGGGACGATGTGACGCGTTTATCTTCCTCGTGGTAATTGTCGTTGACGCTTTTTCCATCTCGAGATTCAATCCACTTCGATGCCATTCGCACGTCACGGTAGCTGGTTTTCTCGCGACCTAAACGGCTGCATGATGGATGAAAGAGAATGATTGCAGTGCCATGCCGACAAAATTACGGAAATGTAATCGCGATGTCTAAGGAATGACGCAAAAATAATTATCGAAATTACAAAAAAATACCGAAATTATTTTGCGATTAAAATTCAGGTTCACAATTTAATCCGATTATCGCGTCAGCTCTAAATCGTTCATGTTTGTATTTATAATTTCGATATTAATACTCGAGAGGGAATTCTACTCTTTTATGTATTCTACTCTTTTATTTTATCAAATTTGTTAGATTATTTTATTAAATTTTTAATTTTAATTTATTTTATTAAATTTTTACGCCATTATTACAATTTAATTAATTTTTCCAAAATATTTTTTACATGAATACTAAAATGTAATTCGGAGATTGAATTTTTCTTTGTTTAATAACTTCAACCTAAATACTGTAATGCAATTTTTCAATGTTCGATGATAAACGCGGGTGCATTTACGTTTTAAAATTGCATTTGGCATTTGCGTTTACGCCTCCGAGATGCCCTACATAACAGCATTAATTTTCTGTATGCCTACATACGGTTAGACATATTTGTTAGCCTACGCCTATTGGATAATTTACCACTGACTGAGCATCCTAAGTGATGCATAGTATCCAATGCATCTCCGCGTCATGCACGTCTCACGCTCCGAAAGTTGTCGATATATGTACGTACATATATGGCACGTTACATCACATCGTACACGGCGACCTAGTTCAGACGTTGTCGAATAGCCCGTGCAGATACGGGAAGTACGATTGCAACGTGGTTTTCGTCGAAGCAAGATTATCGCGACGTGCAGATGAGAAGTCAGCATCTTTTTGCGCGTCTCATCGTCGTGTGTTAAAATGACATTTCCCCGTCATCGTGGATATTTATGCGTGCGACAGATGCTCGTAAGAGCGAGATCACTGACACTTCCATCCGATGGATAGTAAGCAACACCACTAGTCATGCGAGAAAGACGTGTCCCTGCTATAGCTCCTTCTATCCGAGCCTTAATGGACTCCTTATTGCTTAAACTCTCTCGAAACTTGGTCGAGCGTACGCGTCCTCGTCCCTTTAATTGTTGCCGTGCTTGTAATTATACCGCGCGACAGGATCGCGTGACGAAACCCGGACGAAGTTAATTTTCGGACGTGGCTATTTCATTATTATTGCGGGCTCTCTCGCCACGTTGTTTCCTCCGTGGTTTTCCTCTTGTTACCTGTAAGCATTGTGGGGAAAGGGACATTATTAATTTTCACTACTAAAGCAGGTCACTTGCTTTGCAATTGTCGGGCGAAAAGTCTTTGTTGCAGTTTGGAGACGGCAGAAGGTTTATTTTAATCCCGTAGAGTCGATTCATGTCACGCTAAAGTATGCAATACAATCGCTCGTTTCACTTGTAGAAATAATCTCCCACAAATAATACACGATTCTAGACATTTAGAAACTTGCGCATCGAGCAATTTCACGTTCAATTTTATCGTTCAGCACTTTTTCGATCTTCTCGGATATGGTTTATCGATAACATTGATAAAACGAGTCTTGATTTAATTTCAAATAAAGTAGAGATAGATTGATTTCTAGATAGAGCAGAATGAACTTTCTAGCTTTCATACAAATAGTACTTAGTAACTCGTTATTATCGATTCTTTTTAGAAATTTTCTTTCAACAGCTTTATTTGAACAAATCGATTCAATAAAATATAATCACGAAGCTTCATTCAATCATCTGAACAATCATAAAATTCCAGAGCTAATTTTTGTGCCTTAATCTAACCCGTCAGCTTCTAGGTGTCGACCTATGCTATCTAATCTTGTATTTGCACCCCTCGCCCACCTTTCCTTGCCGTGTTGTTGGGGACGCTGTGACTTTCTCCCCGCCCTACATGTGGTAACGTTTCCCACATCGAGCCCTAATCTCTGGTGTCGTAATGTTGTAGTTTCGAAAGGTTGCAGGGGAGCGCCAGAGGGAGGAGCTCAAATGGGAGCGCGATCTGGACCGGAAGAGCAAGTCGAGGGGTGGCTCGCCGGATCGTCATCAGGCTTCCGACAGAGGGAGAGCGACTAGCCCTCAGAGGGTCGTCATGCCGGCTCAGACGGGCGGTAAGCATCGTTTTACTTCATATGAGAGATATCTGTTGCTTCTCCACATCGTAATATAGGTATCACGTTTCGCATAATGACCGGATATTGACGATATAATCAAGGAAATATCCGTAAAGACGATGTAACTTTCTCAAAATAGAAAAAATATAATTTATATTTGATGTATGTAATAAATATATAATCAAATCTTTGACTTGCTCTTTTTTAATTTGGCAATTTTTGACATATTGGCAATTTGACAAATCATTTTCACAGGCATAACTCCAAGATGAATGTTTACTTGGATTTCGTTATCATTAGCAATAAATTAATAAAAATTAATTTGAGCTCGGAGTGATAACGTATTAAAAAATTTATTAATAAATAATAAACTGCTATAAATATACATATATATATATATATATATATATATATATATATATATATTATTGCAACCTCACTTATTATTTACTTATTATTTATACACTTATTATTTATATTCTTTCCCGAGAATTCATCGTAATCATTTCTAGCACAATCAATTGACATAATATTTGAGGTTGAAATAAATTTTAAATTTTTTATTTTAACTATTTCATATAATATTTTTTTATTTTATTGATAAAGCGATCGAGCAGGAAGGTGGCGATTTGGATGATGAAGAAGAACGTCGACGACGCGCTCGTCGCGGAGGAGGTACGATTCGTCGCAAGTCTCGGGTGACCAGACAAAGATCCTACGACGATGAAATTAAAACGGCGGCCGCGATGGCCGGTAGTGGCGCGCAGCCGACGCATCCCGACACCGGCCTAGGACTTCCGGTCCAGCTGCCGAGACGAGCGTCTGCCTATGACGTTTACGCCGCACCCGGAAGCAGCGGTCTCAATGCAATGGCCATCGCCGCCGCCCAACAAAGAGCCTCCATCTCGGCGCAGGGTACGTAAAGAAATATTTTTATCGTCACAGATATAAGAAAATTATTTTCTTCGATTCGCTCGTAACTTTAATTTAATCTACAACGTATAATTTTCTTAGTTTCTTTTCAATTTTATTTAAAAATATTAATTATTTGATTTAATATTAATAAATATTAATAATTATTAAAAATATTAATGATAAAATATTAATAATCATATATAATATATTCCAACAAAAAATACGAGAACGATTGGAATAAAATTAACAAAAAAATTAAAGAGAATAAGATAAAATATAAAAAATTATCATCATGTTTCTGGATAAAATAGCTTTTTCATATAGAATATGTATTATATATAATCGTATAAATTTAACTATACGATTTAATAATACGATGTAATATGATGCTTCGATTTCAGTATTTTTCTAATAGAAAAAAATAATACCGTGTTTAATATTCATCCGTATGTAAAACACAGCGCGTGTTGAGATTGATATTTTTCCATTTATTGCATATTTTAACTTTATGCTTAAAATATCGGATAACTCATCAGCTATAATATTTTGCATAATAGTTTGCATAACTCATCCATCAGAAGTTACTTTGAAACGGCGGGTAGTGTTTATCAATAACCGTTTACTGTATCGCGTATGCGTATGCATAATTTCTCTCACTAAAGCGTTACCTTCTCTAACCTCTCGGGTTATTTCTGAGAGAAACTTTAGCAACCGGCTCTTCGATCTTGACGAAGATGCCAAAATTTCCAACTTCGACCTCGCTTCCTTCCTGGCACAATACGTGCATCTATTTCGCGCCATATTGCACATTTAGGAATCATCGTAACAGTATTCTCCACAAGTTAGAAATGGTTGTGCTTTAAGAGATCCTAAGGCAAATACCATCGAAAAGGATAATCGAATAGAGCAGCAGTGAGACGAGCTCCTTCGTATTATTCCTTCTGTATCCGTAACTTCCTCTGTTTCGCTGCAGAAATAATTCACCGCAGAAATAATTCGCTTCATTACGCGGATGCGTTTTATCTGATGTTTCTACTATCAAAGAGGCAAGCTTTAGAGAAATGAATAAGCCAATTTTCGCTAAGCATATTTCGAACACAGCAACATGGTCGATCTCTTCCACCGCGAAAGATGTCAATATATAACAATAGAATTTCTCGCTTGTAGAGGTTTCAAGCCACGACTTCCAATTAACTACGCGATCCTACATGTATCTCGGGGAAAATTCATAATATGAACGTTTCGTAAAATGGTAAATAATACATGCATATATATCATTAATTTTGAGGTAAAATTCCTGTATGAAAATTTCATTCATCAAATTGTTGGTAACTGTGCAACAGTGCCAATAGTTGTCGAGAATAACGTTAAAATTTCACGTAGGAAACAGCTTTAAATAGCGACTGCACAAAACTAGTTTCAGAATACCCATTTTCATGCATTCAATTCAATCGCATCTGTTGGGAATGTGTGCATCGCGAATCCTGAGATGGCTGTGTAACTTTAATACTGCGCGTGCATATTGCCAGTCTGCGTGATCGGAAGCGCCAACCAACTCAACATGGAAATTCAACCTTTCTCCTCTCCCTCTCTTTCTCTCTTTCTTTCTCTTTCTGTTCCTCGTTTGTGCGTCAAAAGGTCGTGCACACGGAATCAAACTCAACTTGCAGTGAACTTTCTGCAAAAACTATTTCCGATGCGTCATGGAGTGGCGTACGAACGTAACGCGATTTTAAAGCCATCTGTACTCATGTACGTACGTGTCGATCGATCTTCGAGCATTTTTCAAATCTACCGAGTTCGGTAGACTTGTTTTATAGCTTCAATTCGCGACACTTAGCTCAATATGATGCGATTTTCAATGTGTCTGCAGTCAAGTGCGCGAGTTAACATTAAATAAAATAAAAAGATGAAACAAATTTTCACCATTTTCAATTTTCAGTAAACTCTAATTCTACATATCAATTGGAAAATCAGATAAAAATTTTCCTTTCCGAAAAATTTGATGGTCGTATAAAGGAAATATATTTTCGCAATAATTTGAAACCGCAAAATATGTACGTCAGTATAGGGTGCTTTAAAAATAAATCAATCTTTCTTCAGTTTCTTGAATATCTGAGTTTCATTAAAATTTGATTATTAAATGCTGAATATCTGATTTTCGTTAAAATTTCATTATATTAAATGCTTGTTATATAACTTTTTAACGTTTAATTTTAAAAAATTCTATAATCCATAAAGTTCCTTAGAAGTTTGTTTAAAATAAAATAAAGATTAAAACGAGTAAGATTTGATTATCTGCTCTTCCAATCAAAAGATTAAATCATTGTTTAATTTAAAAATTGTTTAGTTTCTATCTTTATTCTTTTCCTATAAAATATTAGTTATAACTTAAATATTATAATCGTGATATCTAAAATCAATCCAAAATGTATTACATTTGAGCATCCTGTATATAACGTGACCTATGCTGGTTTCCTCAAAAGTCAAGAGCTGAATATTTTCTGTACTATAGAGAGAAATCACATTGGTACTTGACTTGTACTTCAATATGGAAACGCTATAATCGTTTTATTTCTTTTGAAATTGTATTTAATCTTTTTAAGATCTTTATATATTATTGAATAAAATAAATACTATATTTTATTCCGATGTCAGCATGACTTTTTCTCGTTTATATATTTTATTTTTAAACTAGAGTTACACTTTTAAAATAGATAAAATATTATATATACAAAATAATTATAAACATGTGAGATTGATTGTCTTCAAATAAAAATAATTATGTGAAATACATAATTATATTAAATATTGACTATATTAAATACATGATACAATTACATGTCATTGTAATTTGTAATGATATTCTGCATTTTAACAATTAGTAAAACTACTTTTGAAAAACTTCTTTTTAATTAGAAGTACATACATATATAGTATATATGATATTTATATCTATAAATATTAAATTGTCTTAATTCCCTGATATACAAATAATATCGAAAAATAATAAAAGTATATAGTATAATAATAATTAAAAATATATAGTAATATTTAAAAGTATATAGTCTAATGTGTGTGATTCTTAGCATTTAAGTGTTTCATTAAATTCATTGTGTTATTCTTTTAATTTTACTATCGGCCAGCGAGCCGATTATAATTTATTATTTAAGGCGATTTATTCGCGCTATAACGCGAATCACATTAGATATTTCAAGTATAATATAGTTGACCTGGAAACGTCTTTAATCATCTGCTTCCTCGCAGGTGCTCGAGAACCTGAGGAACGACCCGTAACGCGCAGGTCTTCCTTCCGTGCTGTAAAGCCGGTGATGCCTTACGAGGTCGCGGCCGACGATGAGAAAATGATTAAGCTAGATTCGTCATCCGCACCTGCAGTGGCATCGCCTGCAGTATCCCAGCCCGTTCTTATACCCGACGAAGAGAGACGTAATCGTCGAAGAGGCTCCCAATTGTAAGTTATCAATAGCGTTATTATCTCATAAGGATTTATCATGCCAATCCACGGACTTGTTATTTATAATGGGCAAAATAAAATTTATACTCTATACCAGAGAATTCAAATGTACTTGAAGCCATATTAGAGATTTTTATCGCAAATTGACTTGACGTTCGTTAAATTAGATATTTTTTCTTAATTTTAAGGTTCAATGTTAATTGTCATATATTCGTATATAAACATGGCATATTTATTATTTATTTAATCGAGAATTAATGATAATTCTATATATGTTTCAAATAATTTTCAGCAAATGTTTACTTACATTTGTTGCTTCTTTTACAAGAAAAATATACGCAATTACGCGCTTTAATTTGAAATTTCCACATATTTGCTTGTTTTCTAACTTCTCATGACACTGAAGTTTTGATGTTGAGACAGACATTTCATCCACGCTTTCAGAGAGTAATTTAAACTTTTATGCTTGCTGTATCATCGAAAGATGTGAAAGTAAAGTTATATATTTGGATAGGAGGCAAAAGAGAGAGGTATTCTCTATTTTATATAATAATAATAATAAGTAATTATTTGGCAAATGTCAAATTCTAAACATATATATAAAATTTTTTGTTAAGAACTATTAAAAGCACAAAAATTTCTTCAAATCGCATAGGTTGTTCACTAGTAGTTATATTTCATTATAAGTTATATTTCTAAATTAATTTTTTTACAAATATAATTAAATATTTATAAACATATATTTAGATTATCGAAAGTATGTACGAGAAAGAAAGAGAGTATTTCTAAAATTTTACTTTTCAAAAGTCATTTCCCTTCAATTATATTTATTCAAACTTATATATTCAAAACTATATTATTAGATTAGTTCTAATAATTTTAGGAAGATTATTTGTATGGAAAACAAGTAAAAAACCGAATTAACCGAGAATTAACTATTCAAAATGAATTAATTTAGATATTTAAAAATAATGATATATTTTTACAATAAATTCATCGTCAAATTATTTCTTAAACAATGTATATTCGCGAAGTTTTAATAATCTGTAAATATATGTTACATGATTACATTAATCTTATTATGAAAGAAATCACTAAAATATTCAATGTATACAAATTATCTCTTGAAAAAATGGCGAAATTTTTTTAATGAAACTTTCAAAATGTTGGTTTTCTATTCAGACACGTCTTGAAGTAAAAAAGATATCTTGATACATAAATCGAAATGTTCAGATTTTAAAACAAGATAATGTCTATCGTGCAATCTACTTTTGAAGAAGAAAACAATGTTATCACGTTTACATCTCATTAAAACTTTTATGCCGATAGTTAAAATTGAGTAAATTTATTTCAGCGATTTTATAGTTCCTTGTAATCTTAACGATACGTAGACAAAGGAAAAAAATTTATGTAGCTAAACTTATTGTTAGCACTAAAACGACAAGTTTTAAGCAAGAGTCTTTTATTTTAAGCAAGAGTTTACGCTGACAAGAGATTATTTGTATAAAAGAATTGAAAATCCCTTCTTAATCATCAGCGTGGCGAAAATGAGAATTGGCTACCCTTTTCTACTCCCGTTTCTTCGATTTATTCTCGTGTGGTTGCTTTCCTTTTATTTTATCCGACGAATGGTGCGCAACGTGTGTTGTATAAGCGCACATATACGTATTGCAAGCAAGAAGTCGAGGGGATTGCAAACAGGGAAGTTTGCTACTAGAGAAATAATTAATGCCACCCACCTATTCACCTCCTTCTCCTCCTCCTTTCTCTCTCTCTCTCTTTCTCCTAGTTTTCGTTAAGTGCGCGCATTTACTCGTGTACGAGCATCTGCGGTTCTCGCTAAAGTCGAGTTCTAAACTGTTACAATTTCAGCGAGCTTAATTCGCCACGCTGCAACGATTACTCGAAAATATGCAGTATGACAAGCTTGCGATATTAACTGGTCGGAAAGCTTGTACCCGTGAAATGCGATACTAGAAATGGATAATACAACGCAATTACAAAAATTTAAAACCTATTCAAATCACAACATCGTGCCCAAAATTTGTTAAATTAAGAAATTTCTTTCAAACGATAATATTTTCTTTCTCTATTTATATTTATTTTCTTTCTTTATTTATATTTATATTTATTAATATGCCTTTTACTTTAAGACCTAAACAAATAATTTCAAAGAGATTTAATATTGATTATTCAATGCTTTTAAAGAGATTTAATATTGATTATTCAATGTTTTATTCAGAATCTAAAATAGAACACACACGATCACCATATGTTAGAAAATAACTTCTTTTACTGACCTGGACTTTTCAGAATTCAATGATCACAGCAAAAATCTTTATTCTTCTACCCTTCTCTAGAAGAAGGTTCAAAGGTTTAACATTGAGGAAAAGAAAGTGTCACCCTTCAGACGTTACGCCTATTATACGAAGGGTCTGAAGATATTTAACGAAAAGGTCGGGTGTTATATAATGTATAGCTTTTGTCAAAATTGGCTTAACCTGCATGATCCTTCGTCTTTCTATTAGTCGAGTAAAAAATCCCGAAGTAAATTACGTGCTAAAGTTATCAGCCAGATTATAAAATATCTAAATCGCTCATAACCGCATTATTATTTCATATTAGGTGTTGTTAAAAATTAAAACTCTCGTACACGTCAATTATTCATATTAGAATCACTTTTGATAATATTTTGAACAAAGTTAAGAGATAAAAAATTATAATACTGGATAAAATAAAAATTATAAAATTGGAATAATATAACAAATATTATTTCCGTAATTTTTTATAAAAATAATAGAGATTTGAATTATCAATAGATACATTGACAATTTTAATATTTAAAAAATATAGACATCTAATTTAAAAAAAAGATTATAATAATAAATAATTTTAATCATTATAATTTTTAAATAAAACCACGTAGAAAACGTATAGAAAAAATATTATATAAATATTATATATCATATATATCGAATTTTATGTAATTTCTCTTACAATACCCTGGTATCTTCTTTTGCTTAGTTATTTTTTAAGAATTATTTTTTAAAATGTTATTTCTATATTTCTAAAAATTAAATGTTTTTGTAAATTAGTTCGCTTATCTACTAAATGCTATAGTTTTACACTGTTAAATCTAGAAGGAATGCACTGAACAAGGCTCATGTAATTTAATCTGGTAAACGAAGCGCACATACGAAGCTTCCAAAATACCAGTCCGTTTTTACACTTTCAAAAAGGGTCGTTGATTATTTGTGCAACCGATCAATGTGTACTATCTTAAAGCGGCACCATTCGTTGAGGCGATGCGGCGGTTGCTAAATCGAGAAAAACGAGGGAAAAAAGAGAGCGGCTGTGTTACTAGAATTAGAATAACTGCTCGATTACGTCTCCTGGCTTATTTCGGCTTATACCGATTAAACATTGCACTGCGAAGAGCGGCATTAGAATTTTTTAAAATGTTATTTCTATATTTCTAAAAATATGGATAGTTGCTACAAAATAGTACAGTTCGAAATGCATGACAGCTCATGTATAATCTGTAAAGAACACATACGAAAAAAAAGTCCGTTTTAATTTCAAGGTCGTATTATTGTCAGATAATGTTATTTTAAGCGCAATTCGTTGACCTCGATTTCGAGGCGATGCGGCGAGTTGCTAAATCGAGAAAAACGAGGGAAAAAAGAGAGCGGCTGTGTTACTAGAATTAGAATAACTGCTCGATTACGTCTCCTGGCTTATTTCGGCTTATACCGATTAAACATTGCACTGCGAAGAGCGGCATTAGAATAGAAGCGGCACTTGCGCTTTAATACAGCCTTGCTGCACGTCGAAATTCGGTCGTGCTTCGAATGCTTGCATCGGGCTTGCCGTGTGCCGCGCCAACCACGACCTAGGTATCGTCATCTTGGTAGACCACCGGAAATCAGGGTAAATCGTCCCGGTAATTTTGCCAAATATCGCACGTCTTAACTGACATACTTTCGCGACTGCTGCCGGTGTAGTTTCAACCCACCTCACGTATTAGGTAAAGTTAGAGAAAATAAAATGAGCTCGTTTTTCTCTTTCTTTTCTTTCCAACAATTGCCTTAAAAACTCGATTTCACTGCAAGAATACACTTCATTTTCCGCGCGAATATTTATACACACATTCTTATAATAAAAGTTGTTTTAAACTTATTGATTATATCTCTAAACTCGTAATATTTAAAAAATTTGAGAATTCTAATAAATAAATAAGTAATAACTACATAAAATATATTTTTATATAAGACATTTTTTTTATATAGTTTATGTCGTAGCAACTATAATATTTTTGAAAAAATTATCTTACTAACGATATATCAAAAAGAAATAAAAAATGTGATTTTTCCACCGAATATTTAAACTTTGAGAAAAATGTTTTTCAAATTATGTTTTATTTATTTTAACTGTATAAGTAATTTATGAATAATTGAATGATATTTAAAGATATTTAAATTTTAAGAGAAAGGAAAAGAGAAGGAAACAAATAATAGCTTATACTTATGTTTCCTTTTCTCAACAAAATTTCAAAATATAACAGTAAAAGTTTTAATTCTCGTTTACTTACAGCCCGTCCGTGCAATTATATTCAGTTGTATATTCCGTAGTTCCCGTCGCGATAATTTTTTAATTCCGAAACTTTTAATTCCCCTTTGCTTACGAAACTGCGATTTTATGTAATTATCTCGTTTCATTATTTTGTATCCAATTTACGAATTTTCGTCGTGACTAAACTGCTATTAGTTATAACGCAAAGCCTGCAATTTATTGCGTCCCACGGAACTTGGTTAATCCTAGCTGAGCGACGAAATTTATATGATTGGTTTACGCCACATCCGAACGCGCAATATTTAATCGCAATCATCTTTACGCTTTTCTAAATTATTTCGTAGCTAAAGGATTTTATTCTTCGAAATAGATGCGTAAATATCAAAATATGTCAAACATATATAGAATATAATAAGTTTGAGTTG